TGACGGCAGTGAACTTTTAAAGCATTCTACGTGAAGGGAGTAGATACAGTCGACGTTGGTAGGTATTTCTTTGCTTTTGTGTCTCTCTCTCTCTCTCTCTCTCTCTCTCTCTCACACACTCTTCCTTTCTTTCTCTCTTTTAGGCCATCACAGTGGCGGAGTGGATTGCCCCTAGGGTAGTTCGGAACTTGTAAAGGAAAAATTGTACCAAGGGCCACCGCGGGAATAAGGAAATTTCCATATAATAATTAGATCCTCAAATTACTCTAATAAAAGAGTATGATTAACTCGAATATCCGGACTGACTCTTTCTCTCTCTCTCCCTTTTTTCTTTATTTCTTTCTATCGTTTCTCTTTTTAGTTCTTCGTCGTAAAATCTGCAATTCCCTTTTTTTTATTTCTTCTTCAACGGCGTCGAATCGTCTGAAATTCGGAAGTACCTAATGTCTATAGAAAAGAGAAAGATCATACTCGAAAAGAGAGAGATGGTTCTTGTCTCTTTCTTAGCCATATATTTTTATATTTGACTTGCTCGGTCAGTTTCATTCTCTCCCTCTCTCTCTTTCTCTTTTTCTATTTCATACTGTTTCTCCATTTATTCTTTTTCTCTTTTTCTCTCTCTCTCTCTTTTTCTTTTGAATGTTCATATTCTTCCTTTTCCAATGAATCCCACTTCATCCTGTATAGTGCGGCCATACGCGAACGCAAAGCCTTGGGTTAGCCCGTTTATTATGCACGTCCGCGTGATTATGAGAGAAGCGAAGCCTGTTAAATGGTAGAAATGCCCCATCTCTCTTTATTTCTCTATTTCTTTTTCTTTCTTTCTTTCTTTCTTTCTTTCTTTCTTTCTTTCTTTCTTGAAAAAAAAAGATCTACGAGGTTTTAAAAGAGACCTTATTTCCATTTAAATCCCTTTTCGCAAAATTGTCCCAATTTTATCATTATTTCATTCCTTTGCTAATGAAATATTTTACAGTACGATAAAAAAATGATTAAACAGGGCAAACGACATTCGTACGTGATCATTATTCCAGTCCATTAAGGACTTATGATTTTTTTTTTCTTTAATTTACATTTCTAGTATATATTTAAATGCATTTTACGCAACAACCACAAAAATTTATTATCGTTACTGTTACGACTATTATTATTGCCTTGTTTTTTTTTCTTTCTTTTTTTTTTGCAACCAGTAGCAATAAAATATTTCACAGCAATACAAAATCATTCACCGGCGAACCAACAACATCCGATTATACTTGCTATCTCGGTTCCACTCTTCGCTCATTCGGTGAGAACAATCGCGCTGTACTTTACCGCGATTAACCGCGGCAATAACTATGCTTGCGGTTAAATGGTAAAAGCGTACAGGCGCGTAACGCGCATTACGTCGTACGTCGACGATAATTCCGGAATATTGCAAATATGACGTTCGTCCCTCTCTCTCTTTCTCTCTCTCTCTCTCTCTCCCTTTTACTTTTATATTTCATGAATAATTTCGACTGCTGTGTAATTTTTTTCTTGCACTCTAAACGTAATTTCCACTACTTCCATACGATATTACATGCTAACTTTTTCTATATATAATAACGAGCTTGTAACCGTATAATTTGCAAAATGTTTGATAAGAATGTAATTTTAACGACCAGTTGTATAAAAAATCTGAACCTTTATCTTTCTAAATCATTATGTTTCTCCCTCTTTTTTTTTTTTTTTTTGAATCTTTCTTTCTTTCGTCTTTATACCAATGAAATTGTAAGAATAACAAAAAGGGGAAAAAGGATTCATCGAGGTAACGCTAATTGGTTGGTATTCTTATGCAACAGCCCGGATTGTGTTAGTTAGATATTCGCCTTGCCGCTAAAGTTAAACTGTAGCTCGTCGGTAGAAGAAGAAGAAGAAGAAGAAGAAGGAAGGGAGAAGAAAGGGAAAAGGTTTAGAAAGGTGTAGGTAGAAAGGTTGAGGAAGAGAAAAGAGAAAAGAGATTGGGATGTGTTAAAATTCTGTGCACCTCCATCGACTTAGCGAGCGACGAAGGAGGGGGAAGGGCTTTCATGCTACTGGGAAAGAAGAAGAGAACTCTGAGAGAGACAGCAAAAAAATAAGAAACAGAGAAAGAGAGAGAGAGAGAGAAAAAGAGATGTGGAATAATAAATGTTACCTACTCGTCCCAGGCTGCTCGGTTGAATAATGTAGTCGGACGACAACGTTCAATTCCAGTCTTTCCGCCGTGCATCTTTCCTCAGCGTCTTCTTAAATATGTAATATAACTACTGATATAAAGACAGATACACTTCGATTCCAAGTCTCTTGTCTCTTTCTCGTCGATGAGAAGTCGAGGTCCGAGTTACACGGGTTACATAGGAAAAACGAGAATGAAAACAAAAGAAAATATTTAAAAAGACAAAAACGTAGGTGGATAGTTCTTTTACAAGTGGAGTGAATTTTAGGATCAAGCGGATCGTAGAAAGAAGTGTATGCAGACTACATGTATTTGAAGGACTCTGAGGATCACGGGGACCTTAGTCGTCTACACTTGTAAGCAAAGTCTATCGTAAATAAAAAAGAAAGGAAGATAAAACTAGAGGATAGAGAGAGAGAAAGAGAAAGAGAGGGAGAGAAAGAGGCGTAAGCTTCGATGTTCTTCATAAAAAATACATGTATACATATATGTAGACACATATTATATATACTCTGTACAATACGACGACTCTTACAATTAGATGGAAATATTGTGCGACTTGAATTTTCCATTTTTATCTAGAATGTTAGATCGAACAATCGATCAATTATATCGCAAAATGCTCCAATGGAATAACGAAATCATTTCTTTCCATTTTGCTACGCTTCGAAGACTCTTTTGTGTCCGATCAAGGAGAATTTAACTAGATCGTAATTTCTCTTTTCACATAGTGAATGAATGTAGATGTTTGTGTGTTAAAGGGAGAGAGGGAGAGAAGTAGAGGCAGATTTTAATTCTTCGAAAGTGGCTTGATCGTGTTTATGCTCCTGTCTCCTCCTGTTCTCTGTTCAATGAACTAGTAATCAGTTATAGACGAACGTATCAAGGATATATATATATAACATTACGTGAATAGGTGTGTGTCTAGCCACCTGTTGTGTTACGTGTAGATTCAATTATATAATCATAGATAATGATTTATTAAGAAGTAGAAGAAGAAGAAGAAAGTACATTAATTAAGACAAGCTTCTTCGTGCCTTAACTCGTTGATCTCTACTCCTTCTTCCAGTATTAAGATTCGACCGAAAAAAAAGATAAAAAAAATGTCTATAGAATAGCAGGGATGGCGACGACGGCATTACTGATGTGATGTGGTAGTAGTGCCAACTGAAGCTAGTGCATTCTCCGACTATCGAATTTAAACTCAAGGCAAAATCGCCTCGAGCTCGGATCATTTCGGGAATGAAAGTCATTCGCCGATAAGATCAGCGTTCCGTTTAAGCCCTCGAGCATCGATCCGATGTTTAAGCGACGTTCTCTAAGAACGAAGAAAGCAAAGGTTCACGCTAACCTTACTCTTACTTCTACTTCGTTTCGATGTGATAGCATAAGAAGAGAAAAAGAGAGAGAGAAAACATACGTGAATATGTATAGAAGTGTTCATGCAACTCACATACGTATGTACTATTCTTAACTTGTCCATTGCAAAACGTTCGCGTGTGAATACCTGGACTGTTCTCATAGGTTGGCAATTTACCAGCAACACCTTGTCTTCTTTCTTTTCCTTACGATCATCCATCTGTTTTATCCTTCTCCATCTTCCTACATCCTATCAAATATTATTCCCGCCAACTTTGAGCTTCCTTCAAATTGCGTTCAGACATCTCAAAAATGTCCGCAATACTTTGACAGAGCGGATAATCGAGCTGACGGGAGTATTAGTTTCTCGTTTTGCTGACTCCTCGTACTTTTTCTATCTTCTTTCCTTTCCTTTTTTCGCCCCTTCTCTTTCTCCTTTACTCATTTTTCCATCTTTCTGAGTATAATATTAGAAAAGCCGGTTGAGTATATTCGTGCTCCACTTTTCAACTCTTCGAAACGTATGTGTTATTTCTCCTTGTATTCTCCTCCCCACTCCACCCCCTTATTTTTGATCCTTTCATTGCGCGCGAATCATTTTCTTGCTGAATGCTCTTAATGTTTTTTGTATACCTCGTAGGATATGAGACTTCGTGCTCCACTTGCAAAAGATTTGATTTATGTGATAAGTTGATTTCGTACGGTCAAGATCGCTTATTTCCGTTTATGATTGTTTCACGATCTATATAGTATTATTTATACTGGTTTCATTAAGTATTGGATACATTTGTAGAAATTCTTTTGTATTCGATCCACGAAAAGTTAGTTAATTTCGAATTCAATTTAAAAATGTCTCTATGTAAGACACGATTATACAAATACAAGAAAGTCAAAGATCAGTGTATTAATTAAACTAGAAGAACAAAGAATATTTATTTTCTTTGTGTTAGAATCTTCATGAATTTCTTATCAAAAAATCTTATTTAGAAATTATTAAAGATTTAACAACAGCTTGGTATCTTAATTAAAGTCACTACCGAGTCATTTTAATTTATACAGATCGTTATCGTATTCAACGAAGCCGATTTAAAAATCCTATTTTGCGCCGGAAAAACTATTAAGCGAAGAGAGATCTAAACCGCGGAAATCGTTCGAGGCAAGCTCTATTTCGTTATTTAAATCCACTCGTTTAATAGCCCAAGCGTAATGCGCTGAATTAATCATAAGGATTCATTTCTCGCGCATAGGAACGTCTTTTTCCTTGAGAAAAGTAACGATCAAACTTTCGCAAAAGCTCGTGCTCGGTGGACTTTCAATTGGCCGGTCTATTTTTAAAAGCTTTTCATCTCTTTCAAGAATATATTTTCATCGTTGATCATTCTAGGATTTTAATCAAGATATTTCACTACGATTTACCGTATTATATAAATATACCTTTATATTTTCTCTTTTATTGTTTTAGGTAAGTCAATGAAAAGAGAAAGGATAAGTAATTCACAACAGTTCCGTTTATAAGCAAAGTTATTAAGGTATGTATGTAAATGTGTATAAACCACTAGAATAAGAAACACAAATGGAATATGCAATCTGACGACCCAAATATATTCAAATTTCTTCTCGTTTAATAATAATTTCATTTCATCCTGATGCTTCCGTTCTTGTCGTACATCGAATGTCAAGAGGATAGACGACAATCGGTGCTCGTGCACCATAGACAGTAATTCCCCATTGGAAACTTAAGTGTCAGAATTATCCGCGTTAAATTGGTACGTGCATCGAATATACTATTAGATTTCAAAGCCCCTTTGCTGGACGGTATCTCGGATTTGTACGTAATATGTAGATAATCGTAGCAAGTGTAACCCAATTTTACACACCGACGTTAATAGCCTCGTATAACATACCATACGAATTAACGGGTTAACGCAATTTGCTAAATTTCTAAAGGTAACAAATTTCCAAGTAACCAAAGACGAGTTTCCATTTAATTTTATCCACGAATTTACTCGACACTTTGACTCCTTCGCTTTTCTAGCCTTCTAAGTTCGTACTTTCTAATTGCAAGCTCTTCGAAAGCTTTAAGATCCCACCCACGTAGTTATCTCATATTACGATGATTTACGTTCTGCACTTTGGAGGACCTTTCGGGACAGCCTTTATACTCGAAAAGCCTCTCTTTGTTGTCATCCCATAGTCTATAGCATGTGGATATCATGGGCTTCTACATCCATTATTCCGAGGACGATCCATGTGTGCATGTGTATGTATATGTGTGCAAGGAAACGTACAATTCTACCCAATATGAGATGACCAAAAACGGGATGATAAGATGCTTTGTTTAACTAAAGACATATGTATATATATATGGACAAAAAAACCTTTTTTATTATATTTATTACAAGTAAATTATATTCCCTTAAACTCATTCATATTTTGTATTTTATTATTTCTCTCTTTTATTTTTATTTATCCTATTATTTTTCGTTCTTTTCTAGTAAGAAAAGTCACAATCTCGATTTTCCTTACGAATAAACGAGAAATTTAAAGTTCAGGATATAATAGAAAGCTAGAGAGAGAGAGAGAGAGAGAAAGAGAGAGAGAGAGAGAGAGAGAGAGAGAGAGAGAGAATAAAAAATAAAAGATTATGAAAGAGATTACGCGAGCCAGTTTTCAGAGCTAGAAAACGTAGCCTTTTTTCGGCTTGGCGCCTTGTCCAATTTGGTTAACGAAATTCACCGGCTGCCTCAATAGCCGAATTGGACGAGGCGCCAGACTCGAAAGCTCGGAGGTTACCAAATCTTCTATTCCTGCTGAATGCTATACTCTTGTTTCATTTCTCTCTCTTTCTCTTTCTTTTTCTCTTTCTCTTTTCTTTTTATCCTTTTATTCAATCTTTTCTCTACTTTTTCCTCAGCGATTGTTTATCTCGCTTACGCTATTGTTTTAATCGATTAATTCTAAACAACATTTTTACATATAGAAATAAGAATAACGAGCAGCATGATTAGAGTCAAAGTTTGCTGTATTCCTTTTTAATAAAAAAAAAAAGAAAAATTTATCGAGAAAGCTTATATCATAGAGCAATTATGAGAACGGAAGGTTTATTGGCAACGTGCCTGAAATCAATGTAGCTTACATCGAATCGATAGGCTCTAATGCGTAAGTGCCGAGTTTGATGTGTTCTTCGGGCAAATTGATGTGATCAATTACTCGCCATCAAGTTACCGTAATTAATTAGATAGGACATTATGGACTGGATCGATCGATCTATCGGTTACCTTTCTTTCTCTCTCCCTCTTCCTCTTTATACTGTCGATAACGAACTATTATCAAAACAATTTGATTATAATTATTTTTTATTCCTTTTATATATATATGTTTCTTCATCTATTATTTCTATCTATTCTTCCAACATTTATCTCGACATTTCAATTACTTATCGTAATTTTCATTCATCTTATAAGTTTTAACGATTTCAAAAGGAAATTATATTTTAAAGTATTGCCTATTCTCTATGAAACTATAATATGTTATATGTTTGTGTGTGTATATATATATATATATGTTTAATTTGTACGTATGTGAAATCGCTTCATATACACGATACGTTATAAAACGTACACTCGTATAGTATTGTATATCAACGTATTTTCAACGATTCCACTTCTTTCACATCCGGTCGACCTCATAGCTGGCACGTTCTCCTCGCGTTATTCTTTTACTATAGTTTAGATTCTTGCTTTTCATTTATTCTTTCTTTCCTTGTTTATCTCGTTTAGCTTTGCTGAAAATCTTAAAGGTATCATTAGAAACAAATAAAATATAAATAGATAGATAGATAGATGTGTGTATGCCGGTATATAAATATATATGCAAACAAAAATAAAAAAATTCTAAGTGAAATAGAGAAATGACTTGACGTGCGTCGATATAAATAGACGTTCTATTTCGGTATGATCATTAACGTAGAAATGCGCATCCATGATTCGTGCCAATCAAACGGGAAGTACTCTCGATTAACAAGCATGGCTGCGCGAACCAACGCATTTCACCTATTGGCCCATTCGCTGGTTCGCTCATTTTCCTTCAGCTACATGTGCTTCGACACGTCCGTCCCCATTCGTTGTTTTCCCCTCGATCGAACGTTATCCTACCTATTGTTGTTAAAGTTATATTGTAGATAATGTTATAACATCTCGATATAAAAATTTATTTGTCGGCAGATATTTATTTTGATTTCAATTAAATTTGAAATCATTATTTAACGTATTAAATAAATAATAAAAGCATAAAATATATATAAATGAAAATTCGCAAAAGCGTTAATTTTTATATATATATAAACGGGGAGGGAAAATAAATTTATTCTAAAAATTTTTATCACTTTGTATTAAATATTAAATTATTAAAAATAACAAAAAAGGGGAAAACAATGTAATGGTACAGTAGATGAAAAAAAAACATTGTTATTAAAATAACGGTAACTACAGGAAGGCCTGATTTAAGCGAATTTTTGTCAGTACATTTTTCCCTTGAGTCAACAAAGTCACGGACAATAAATTATGAATATTAAAATCGGTTAGCGTGAAAAAGAGAAGGTGGAGGTGGAGAAGGAACAAATAGAGAGAGAGAGAGAAAGAAAGTAGGGAAAATCCCTAGGTTCCTAGAGATGATAAGATTATACCCAAAAGTAAAAGAAATGGATCTTGGAATGGATTGAGGCTACAGATAAATTAAAACCTCCTTATTCAACTCTCTTTGTTACATTCGCCCACTCGCGAACGAAGAAACTGCATAGATAGGCGTCCTGTAATTTAAATGCAAATCAGTTTTTAGTCAATCGCCATGGTACGTTCGTTTAACAAGCGTTGCTGAAATTCTACTTTCTTGTCATCGTCGTTGTCATCGTCGTTGTAATAAAAGAATGAGAAAGGAAAGAACGAAGAAACTGAAAGAAAGTAGATGAAGATGAAGATGAAGATGAAGAGGATGTAGACATAGAAGAATAAGAGAGAGAGAGAGAAAGAGAGAGTAGGAAAAAGACAATGAAGAATACAAGATGTTCCTCTTCGTTATTTTATATTCGCGAGTCTATTGAAATCGCATTGGTAATGCTAAGAAAGAGAAAATCAATGGTGCGTTCCGTTGCTATCTCGAAATCTTCGTCGAATCTTCTTGTATTCGTCCTCAGAAACACGGATAGCAATCTTCTCTTCTTGCAGCGTCTCCTCATCGATACTCAAACATACCCTATCGGCTAATAGAAAGCTTCTCTTAATGGAATAGGTACAGCGTTCTAGATTTCTTGATTCGATAAAAGCAACCGATACAAACACGTATCTGTAGTAACGGAAGGGGACTGGCTGGATCAGTAGAATTGGTCGCATCTTCGCATTTTCTCCAATGTCCATCGTATTTTTAAGACTTTTAGGATTCAACGAATGTTGAGAAACGAGACTATACATAAGGACCGAAAACGAACTCGGAGACACTCGATGCTACTCTCGAATCTCTTTTATCCTCGGTCATTCATCGAATTTCTTCTTGTATAGAATAGATATGTATGTGCGTGTGAGTGTCTCTAAAGGCATCTACGTCAAATGAAAAAAAGGTATGCATTGGGATCTAATTGCAGTTTAGGGAGCTCCTACTGTTTCGCATAATTCGAGAGTTTAAGGATTAAATAACATAATACTATAATAGTGTTACAATTGTGTAAAGGGAAGACCAAAAAGGAAATGATAAAGAGAAAAAGAGTTAAAAAGAGAGAGAGACAGAGAGAGAGACAGAGAGAAAGGGTATCGTTTATTAGTTTTCATTCGACAGAGGTTCGCATTTTCAAGCATTTACTCATACCCTAGGGCATAATATCCTTTCGAAGCTTAAACGATGTCATCTACTATGCTCTCTCGCACGTATAGCTGTATATTCTCTCATCGAATGTGGGTGTTCCAAATTAATTACATTTAATGATACATGGAACAATATCGTTACAAACTAATTGATATATCATGGATGTACATATAATTTTTTATCGATTATTTTTTTTATTTATTTTATTTTTTATTATTTTGTAAATATTAAACGATTACAAACATTTGCTTGTATCATAAGAATGATTGAAAAACCTATAGAGATTTTTTGGAAAATCATAGGGGATGATATTGGTACCGATTGTACGAGAATCCTTGCACTGTATAAATTTAAATATCACGTAAATCGGGTCAACAAACGGTACAGTATATTGACCATGTTCGATTCACGAACGATCATTTTATGTTTTCCGACACGAGCACGAAAATCACACATAGTGGGATCCATGCGACGTGCAAATGGTTTTTTCCATTCACGCGTTAACAAGGTAACATGGTACAACGAGTTCAGCCGAAAAGTAGTATGAGAGAAAGAGAAACAGAATGGGAGAGAGTAAACGCGATAGCAGGGTAAAATAGTCGGATCGACTGTTGCTGCCTGGGACTGAAACGGGGAGTAAAGTTTGTAGAGAGATTTTAATTACCGAGT